AGTCCACAAGTCTTAAAGTGCCCAAATTTGGAGACCCCTGATCTTGACTAATGTTGGCTTTAAACCGCACTTCCCCTGGCCCCCTGCCAAATTCAGTGAAATACGGGGGGGGGGGATGTCTTAGTCTTATTTTTCCCCTTTAATGCCATTTTTTTTTGATAGTAGAGGCAGAAGTACAGACCTTTCTATACCTATTCATACTAGCGTATTGGTACTAGATCTAGTGCTGATATAAGAGTTTGTTGCAAAAAAAATTATATATAAACAAATGCATATATAAATATAAATATATATAAATATATATATAAGACTATATATAAAGCAGGGTGGGAGGGGATTAATACTGTGCAGGCAAACCTTTTTTGGGGTCTGGTATTTTGTTAGCTACAAGTGAGATGCCTAATTTAAGAACAGACCTACCAATGTTACTGTATCAGGAAGGGCTCCCGTTCCAATGACAGCTCTTGCATTTTAATAAAAAAAGTTCCTCCTAATTCCCCCTTTTTTCCTTTTCTGTAAGCTTGAGAATATTTAGATATGTTTTAAAGTTCTGGTGGATAGCAAGCGTTATAGGGTTTTAATTATTATTATTTTTTGTACACAGTTCATCTGAATTTCAGTGTTCGTGGTGGGGCCTGCTTTTGTTTGTACATCAAAACTATTGCTTTACCCTCCATCCTCACCTTTGAATTTAGTGGGCTTTAAAAGCATTCTTGTTGATTTTCTACCCAAAGTTAAGATACCTTAATACCATTGTTTTCTCTCTCTCTCTCTCCCTCCCTCTCTTCCACCCTCTCTCTCTCTCCCCCCCCCTCTCTCTTTCTCTCTCTCTTGCACTTCAGTTCCATATAGAAGTTTGCACCAGTATAAACAATTGGAGTTCCATTCTCCTAAAGAACCTATCTCATTTCCAGATTAACCCCAAGACTTCTCTGATGGGTCAAGTAGACTTAAAACTGGTATGAAGCTGTAGTGTAGACATAACTGTTCAATTTCTCTGGCGTTTCCCCCCCCCCCCCCCACGTTTGCATCATCGGTCTGCCTTAGATCGGATGTGAATCGAGGTTTCCATTTCTGAAATTCTGGCCTTGCTTTTTGCGTAGGAGCTGGATTAACTTACAAATCAGGACGGATAGGTTTGTCCACGTGACGTTTTAAAGCTGGAGCAGTTTGACCAACAGTTGTGAACCTGTGTTTCCAAAAGCCATTTCTTTTTTTAAAAGATGAAAACCCCCAAGCCGTGTCAGAAATCTCTTTTTGATCGGGGTTGGAATTGTCCAGGAAATTTTGGAGGTCCAGAAAAATAAATCTTTTAACTTGAAGCAATTCCTGTGTTGGATCTTTTAAGCCTCGGGTCGAATTACCAGACTTTGAATACATCATCATTGGGGGGATTAGAACATCAATGTCACTCAAATGGGCATCAGAAGATGTTTTAGGTGTTCTAGAAAACAAGTAATATCCTGTGATGATGCCTAAGAAAAAGACTTGGATATTCATTTGATGTTGGGGAAAGTTGAAATATAGCTGCATACAATAAGCAAAGTTTTCTGATATTCTCTCTTATGCATTAACAGAGGTAAACATAACAGTGGTGTCAAAACTGTCATCATTATTTCTTCTGATTCCTCTTCACCTGCAATTCATTTACTTGCTAGGAAGAGAAACACTAATGTAGTTTTGCTAATGACACGAGTGTGTTTGTATGTGCTCTCCTGTCTGAAAATGGACTAGGATGGAAAGCAGAGAATAGAACTGTCTGAAAAGTCATAATAAAAAGACACTAATTGCATCCAAGATCAAAATCTCTGGAGCACAACAACTGCACTAAATGGATTAAAAGCCTGCATACTTTTGTCATCTGAGATCATTTTTTATTTCACAGCTTTCATTGTGAGCCACTCAAGAGATATATTCCTAAGGTGGGCAACCATATAAATCTTTTAAATAAATGAATAACCTTAGCTTGCAATGGAAAAACTTCATGTGCCATGCAATGCGAGCATTTGCAGCAACAGGTGTTCTTAAGACACTAAATTGAGTGAGCTGCTAGCCTGCCACTTTGCTCATGTTGTAAACATAAAACAATTCTACTGGTTGGAAGTGAAGCCTGCCGTGAGATTTTCATATTTGTCCCTGAGATCTGGGAATTATTTCAAAGATTCCTCCAGTTACCATGTAGCAAAATGGGTGTCTAATAACATTTATACAAATAAATGAATAAAAAGTTGAGAACACCTGCTTTACCTTTGAGAGAAAAGGGGAAATAATTTTGGTGAAGAATTATGCATTCTTGGCCATGTTTGGTGTTGAGTATGGGTAGTCCTTGACTTACAATCATAATTGGGCTCATTTCCAATGCTAGGCAAGGCAGTTGTTATGTGAGTTTTGTCTTATTTTACGATCTTCTTTTGACAGTTAAGCAAATCCCTAAATATAAGCAAATCTGTCTCCCCCTCCCCCCAGACGTTGCTGAGGTGGTTACAAATGGTGATCACATGACCCTGGGACAGTACAACTCATAAGTACATGCCAGATGCCAAGTGCCCAAATTTTTGATCACATGATCGTGAGGATGCTGCAACAGTCAAGTATAAAAACCACTTATAAGTCACCTTTTCCCATGCCATCGTAACTTGGTCACTAAACAAATGGTGGTTAAGTTGAGAACTACCTGTATTGCATCATGAATCATTTAGCCAGATAAATTTTGGTGGGTTTTTTTCCCGTTTGCTGATGGCATTTGATGATGGGCCTTTCAGTCTTGGCGTAGCCACCATAAAATATATTGTATATCAATATAGTAAAATTACTTATATGGGGCATAAGTGAGATGACTGCCTAAAGTTCCCATTTATTTTGACAAACTTAACAGATGAATGGAGCAGGAAAATCTGTGAAAGTTGTTAATCATCACAGCTAAGCTGAACCTTCATGGACTGAGTATATCCCTAAGTGTTGGAAATCAGGATAAGAAAAAACATGCCTATTACTTTCCAAATCACATCCTGAATTTTGGACACTAATATATTCTTAGAAGTGATAGCTTTCTATTATATTTTTTACGAATGCCACAATGTAAAAAAGGTGGAGACACTGGAAAGAGTGCAGAGAAGAGCAACAAAGATGATTAGGGGACTGGAGACTAAAACATATGAAGAATGGTTGCAGGAACTGGGTATGTCTAGTTTAATGAAAAGAAGGACTAGGGGTGACATGATAGCAGTGTTCCAATATCTCAGGGGCTGCCACAAAGAAGAGGGAGTCAAACTATTCTCCAAGGCACCTGAAGGCAGAACAAGAAAACAGTGGATGGAAACTAATCAAGGAGAAAAGCAACCTAGAACAGAGGAGAAATTTCCTGACAGAACAATTAATCAGTGAAACAACTTGCATCCAGGTGGTGTGGGTGTATTTAATCAAGTGAAAATAAAATCAAGGAACATTTTAACTCGAAGGCAAAAGAAAGCATGAATATCATGTATTGGGGGTAAGGAGGAAAATATCTTGTGTTATTAATCTTTTGTAATAAACTTCCGAGCCTGCAAATATTTCACTGCACAATACAAGAAAATTCATGCAAAGACAAAATGGGTCTTGTTTGGCTTTATGTGTTTTCTAGATTAAGCCACATAGTTTGTTAACCATGATTCAGACTTCAATGTAATGTGTGGCTCCAGCCATTATATCTATTATAAACAAGTAGTACAAAACTTGTTCAATAGAAACAGGAGGCTGGCTGTGGCTGCTTTTGTGACAGCTTTCCTGGAATTTGAAATCAATTTGAAACCATATATCCTGTTTCTCCTCAAAATATTTCTTCCAGACCCAATTGTTAAATTATTAACACGGTTAAGTGAATCTGGTTTCCCATTGACTATTTGTCAGGTCGCAAAAGGGGGATCACATGACTCCAGGACACTAACTCATAAATGTGAGTCAGTTACCAAGCATCTGAATAAATCACGTGACCATGGGGATGCTGCAACAGTCATAAGTGAAAAATGGTCGTAAATCACCTCAACGCTGTTGTAACTTCAAACAGTCACTAAAGGAACTGTTGTAAGTAGAGGACTAACTACTAATTAGGGGACTGGAGGCTAAAATATGAAGAACTGTTACAGGAACTGGACATGGCTAGTCTAGAAAAGAGAAGGACCAGGGGAGACATGTTAGAAGTGTTCCAATATTGGAGGGGCTGCCACAGAGAGGTGGGGGTCAAACTATTTTCCAAGGCACCCAAAGGCCAGACAAGGAATAATGGCTGGAAACTGATCAAGGAGCGATTCCACCTAGAAATAAGGAGATTTTTTCTGACACAACAATCAACCCATGGAACAGAAGTTGCCTTCGGAAGTTGTGGGAGCTGGAGGCTTTCAAGAAGAGACTGACAGCCATCTGTCAGAAATGGCGTAGGGTTTCCTGCTTGGGCTGGGGTGGGGTAGGACTATATGACCTACAAGGTCCCTTCCAACTCTGTTAGACGCAGGGGTCTCCAACCTTGGCAACTTTAAGCCTTGTGGACTTCAACTCCCAGAATTCCTCAGCCAGCTTTGCTTTGCTGAATTCCTCAGCTTTGCTGGCTGAGGAATTCTGGGAGTTGAAGTCCACAAGGCTTAAAGTGGCCAAGGTTGGAGACCCCTGTAAGAGTACATTCTTAATTTGTCGTCCTTCAAAAAATAGGTTGAGCAGCCCTTCGGTCCTCGGACTGCTACCTTGCAAAACCCTTCCAATGCTAGCGTTCTGCATATCTTATCCCGCAAGGAGCTAGAAAGAGCAACGGTTGCCAATCGCGCTCCGGGGCCGAGAGGCGGGGGGGAGAACTCTCCCGCGCCCGACGCGCACAAGCAGCCTCGCCGTCCGACTTTTCCCGGCCCTATCACATGACCGTCTGTCTTCGTCCAAGATCGCCTATCGTTGCGGCGCTCGCATGACGTCACCCACAAGAGGCGGAGCGGACGATCGGGCTTAAGAAGCGTCGGGGCGGGAGGGTGAGAACCGCCCGCTTCCAAGATGGCGGCGGGAGCCTGGAAGGTGAAGCAGGACATGCCGCCGCCGGGCGGTTATGGATCCATCGACTATAAGAGGCGGTTGCCCTATCGGGGGCTCCCGGGTGAGGATGGGGAGATGGGGTCTTGAAACTCGGGGTCTTGGAGCCTTCGGAAGGCGGCTGGCTCACGGTCCATCGCTTAAGCTAGGGATGGCTGCCTTGAATAAGCCACCATAGGCTGCGTTCCTTTGCTGGGTCCCTGCTTTTCCAACCCTCCACAGGACACCCTAAATCTGTTTTTTTAATCTATTTACTGTATGGTAAATACATGGCCTTCTGGTAGTTCAAAATCTGTAAGATGAGCCCAAATATACTTTTTTTTTTTCAGGAGGCAACTGGACTTCCTTGGTTTTTCTTTTGAAGACGTTTCGCTTCTCATCCAAGAAGCTTCTTCGGCTCTGACAGGATGGTGGGGAATGGAAGGGTTTATATTCCTTGCAGACAGCTTGGTCATTTGCATCCTTTTAGAGGGCCGTTGAAGCACTTGGAGGTTTATCTATGTCCTCAGGGTGACCTGAGTGGTGCAAATGGTTCCTATAGTCTGCAATTTTTCCTCTGGAAATCCATTCTTACTCCCACACCATTCAAAGGGTGTCCATCCCAAATCGTATAGCTAAAAGTCTGCAGAGATTCTCAATCATCCAGGTCATGGCTTTATTTAATTTAATTTATTTTATTTATTTAGTTTTTCAAACATGTCTGAGATATCAGGTATAAGTATAAACATGGACATGAGCACAGGAAATGAGTACAAATAAATGGGGACAGTAGGACAGGGGACGGTAGGCACGTTGCTGTGCTTATGCATGCCCCCTTACAGACCTCATGGGAATGGGGTGAGGTGCACGGTAGACAGTTTAAGAAGCTCTGGGGGTTTGAGAAAATAACAGAGTCAGGTAGAGCATTCCAGGCGTTGACCACTCTGTTGCTGAAGTCGTATTTTCTGCAGTCGAGTTTGGAGCAACCTTGAGTTTGTATCTATTGTTGCCCGTGTATTATTGCGGTTGAAGCTGAAGTAGTCATTGACAGGTAGGACGTTGTAGCAGACAATTTTGTGTACTACGCTTAGGTCAGATTGTAGGCGGCGTAGTTCAAGGTTGTCTAAGCCAGTGTTTTTCAACCACTGTGCCGCGGCACACTAGTGTGCCGCGGCAC